CTCTGTGCCTCGCTGGCCCCTGGGGCTTTGCGGGGTTCCTCCGGAAAACCTCAGCATGGGCGTCATCCGAGGCGGGCAGGGCCCTCCGGCATCGCCCGCCCGCAGCCCCGCCGCGGAGCGAGCGGGCGGCACAGGCTGCGCTCTGGCTCTGGGTCATGACAGCTCCGAGCCCGAGGGGCGCGACCCTCTCTTCTGGCCCAGCTGGGGCCAGGCAGCAGAGTCCGTCGTGGCTAACATGACATGTGGGTGTACGGGGAGCCCCAAGGCCAAGGACAGACCTTCCTCGGAGCTGTGCAGGGACGGAAGGTGGAGACGGAACTTTCCAGAACTGTTAATGTATCCAGGCATCCCTCCTCCCTACCCCCATCCTCTGCCCTCACTTGAAGGTCTTCAAAGGAGGTGGGCTGGTCCTTAACAGGGCTGTATGCCTGTCCTTGGGCTGATGGAGGACCCTCGGGGACAGAACGCGGTGGTCTAGTCTAGCCAGATGGCACCGCTGGCCGTGGTCTTGGCTGAGGGCGCTCTGTGGCCCAGGCGCCCTCGAGGTGTGGGAGAAGGGGCGCAGCTCCCGCCCTCCCTCCGGGATCCATGTCTGCGAGCCCAGGGCAGTGACTTATCTCCTTCCGCCTGGGCAGCCGGGCCCTGGCATTTATAGGGATGCAGATTAGCTGCAGATAGGGCATGTCCATGGGGAGAATTATGACCTCAAAATCCAGGAAGAGGAAGTTATAAACATGTGACTGGGCTTATACATTTTTTCCTGGCTGGGCATTTGGTGGAACTAATTTGTTAGGGCTCCGTAAATCATTTCTTGCCTCAACCCTGAGAGCGCTGATGCTGCTGATGCTGTTGGGGTCCGGGCATGGCCCAGGCCCCCGACCGTCCACGCTCCGAGCTGCGCGTGACTCCACCCCGGTTTCCTCCCCGCTGTCAGTAAAAGATGACCCTGCGGCCTGCCGGGGCTGGGGGTCCCCTGGGCCTCGGGTTTTCCTCACTTGAACAAAGAGGGGGCCGGATTCAATGGTGTCGCGGGTATCTTTCCAGTTTTCACTTCTGTGACTCTTTCTCTCACTTTCCCCTTCTCTTTTTTTTTCAAACAGTTTCCCTTACCTCCGTGGGCTTGTGGCTCCCCGTGAGAAAGTATGACCCGCTTTCTAGAACGCCTGTGCAAGTGAATGTTGCTTTTCATTTCAGGAGGCCCGGAAGCATGGACTGTGGCCTCGGGGCCTTGTTCTGAGGGGCGAGCCGAGGGCTGGGGGCAGGGACAGCTCTGGACGTGACTGTCACAGGCCAGGAGTGCCGCCGGCCCCCAGCTCCTCCTGCCTTTCCTGGGGGGAGCTCGGGGAGCCTCACGGGCGCTGCTGCTGGTGGCTCATTCCTCTGCCCAGGTGTCCTGCCCAAACCTGCCCCTTCTTTGCTAGGGCCCAGGGGACAGTTTTACAAGTCGGGAGCGCCTCAGAGAGGGACTCCCACTTCCCCAGACTAGTTGGAGGCGCCCCCCCCCCCCCAGCAGCGTGAGAACGCCGCCGGCCGGCCGGGGGAAGAGGTCCTGCTGGCGCTCAGGGGACTTTTCCCCCCTCCCGGGCCTCGCCCTCCTCCGACCCCGCGGCCACCTGCGGGCCGCCACGCAGCCCTTGCTTCATGGAGTGGAGGGACTGAGGGCCCCGAGTCCCTGGAGCAGAGGGCTCCGGGGCGCCCCTGCTCGGGGGTGCGTGTCCCCACACAGCTGACTGTTCCGGCTTCCTGGCCTGACGAGGGCACGTTTAGATCAGAAGGACAGAAAGTGCCAGTTTTTGTTTTTGGGTGGGCAGCTGTCCAGTTGCCAAGGGGCTTTCCATCCTGTTCTGGTAAATGCTGGCCGTCTGTGGGAGGGCGGGTGTTCCCTCTGTCTGCCGTTGGGGAGACTCCTGCCCCCAGAGGCGTCGCTGGGCGCCCTGGGACGGGCCGTCCCGAGACTCTGCGGTCTCCGCGCATCTGCCCGGCTCACGGTTCTCTGGCGCTCGCCGGCCGCTCAGTGGGTGGCAGAGTTCCACGGAAGGAGGCGGGTGGCAGCGCAGTGTCTGCCCTCGGGCGCTTGTAAGGCGCAGGCATCTCAGAGGCACGGCCGCCGCGTGCCCCTCAGAGGGTCCGCGGTGGCCGAGCCGCTCTCTGAGAGATGGCGGGACCGGAAGGGCACCCAGGTCTCCTCAGACTCCCGCTCTTGTCACTGACCCAGCCGTGGAAGAACCTTCCGGAGGGGCAGCGGTGAGGGCTCCTCTCGCGGAGAGCACACA